ATTTTCTTCTGTTCCTGCTTAGCATCTACATACAGCCCTTAGGGGACACAGTGAGATGACATGGGCTTCGATGCCAACAATATGCTGATGACATGCAGCTTTATGAATCTCTTTAGTCCAGTGCAGGCATGGCTATCTTGCAGATAAAAACAGAGCTTGAAGGGAGATTAGAGTCTGGATGAAGACCAGTTGATTTAAATTGAATCCAGAAAAGACGAAAGTGTCTGCTTTTAGGATCTGGCTGGCACCTTTGCTTTGCCCTTAGTTTAGGGTATTTGCTCCTGGCGGTTAAGTCACTATTACATGCTGGGGTCCTGCTGGCTTTATCCCTGACCCTTGAGAATCAAAAGCAGCAGTCTCTAAGATTACTGTTCTTAGTTTTCATTTAGCAGGAACATTGCATTCCTTTCTCAGATGAAGATCTGTTTTTTAGTAATTAACCTATATATCTTTTTCAGTTTGTACTACTGCAGTACTACTTGTGTGTAATACAGCACCTTTTTCCTTATGCTAGATAGGCACATATCACATGGCTGTATCCTGAATTCCAGAAATGTGTCTTACGTGGTGTTACATTTTAATATTACTCAAACATAATAAAGGCCAAAACCATGGAGGTTCTCATTGTGATTGTAATTGCTATTTGGATAGCTGTCAGAGAGATGGATACTGAGAGGAAACTTTACAAAAGATTAAGAATTGGAACTAAGAAGAATTGGAATTAAGAACTCCCACTAGTTTTGGGATTAGTTGGTTTAATTTATGTATTTAGTATGTACTATTTCACCTTTCTCCTATGTGTATAAGAATTTATTATTTGAATAAACAAAATGGGGAAGTTGGGGAAGAGAAGGAAGGGAAGATACCATTCTGACTCCTGACTGAACTCAGGAGAAAACTTGCAAGCACAGATGGAATAAATTAATATTGATTATTTGATCACTAATTGTACTTAAAAAAGGGGGGGGGGGATGGAAACTGTCTACATCAAAGCAGAGAAAGTCAAGACAACACATCTCATACATTTATAGATATGTAAAATATTTTTAGATGTACATAACTTAAAATACATTTTTTTATTTAGATTTTATGAATGTACATAGCATGTCTGGAAATAATTGTATAGAGCAGCAATGCAGAAATTAACATTTTATGGATTTAATTTTTAGTGCTGGAGTTGTAGTCCTTATCCCATAGGGTGTAGTTCTGTGTAAATCCTGCTGAGAATGTAGGTCTAAATGTTTCTTTAACCTTAGATTTGTCAAAGAGGCAGTGAGTTCCAATGAGCTGGTCATCGGACTAAAAGCCATTGAGCTGCGTTCTGTTCTTTGCTTTGCCCTTGAGGTACTGCATGATTTGGGGCAAATCAGTTAACTTCTGTTTTTCCTTCTGCCCTTCCTCTGTCTTGAGATGTGTGTTTTAGAACGTAAGCTCTTTAAGACAGGCATTGCCTGTGTGTATGCGAATTACTTACTACAGTGTAATAGTGGTATCTGAGGCTTCTGCAACATGTTATAATACAAAAACCACAGGTTTGTACGTCCCTTTTAAGTAAACTGCTAGGTTTTTTGTTCCTGTGTGGGTTTTTTTGTTTGGTTGGTTTTTTTAGAAGCAGTAGCATACTAATAGCATGGTTTCGTTTTAGACGCAGACACAGATCAAGCAGTAGTTCTTCATATGGTTCTAGAAGAAAACGCAGTCGTAGCCGGTCAAGGGGCAGAGGCAAATCCTACAGGTCTCAAAGATCGAGATCAAAAAGTAGAACAAGAAGGTAAGACTCTTTTCTAGGAAAAAGAATTATTATTTCTACTGTAAAAACTTTCATTTAAAATCACCATATAGTTACTGAGTTTGGAATATATTACAAAAAAAAAAAAGGTTGCAAGTGATCGTCTAAACTACGTGTCACTTGAAACTCTTCCTAATTTGAAATCTCTGTGCTGTGCTTTTGATGTACTAAATCTTTAAGCCACACTGGTGGAACAGTTGGTTTTGAAGATAAGTTCTATATTTTGCATTTGACCAAGTGCAGAAAACATTAATAGAGTCACCTTGGTTTAACTGTAATCATCTGAAAACTTCTTGTGGATTTTTTTTTGATTACTGATTTCCATAACTCCCATGCATAACATTGGTTCCCTGAAGATCAGACTGAACTGTTCTTTTCTCATCTGTATTTCCCTTGGAAAGAGATGAGTATTTAGTTATGCAAATTTTTCTTAATATTTAAAGATATCTATGGTACTGAAATTTTTGATAAATTGGATTGTGACAAATGGAGATTTTCAATAATAAATGTAATTTAAATATTTAAATCTTAATCAGATGTTGCAAATTGTATTATAAAATCTGCTTCATACTTTTGTAATTAAAAGCAGCTCAATTTTTTTGTGTGTGTATTTTTCAATTTAAAAGTTTAAATAAAGTTTATCCCTGGATATCAGAATTACTGTTAGCATTTTCTATTGAATTTAAATTAATTGAGTGTATCAGGCAGATCAAAGTTTTTTTTGGTATGTGTAAGGTGATTATGTGTACCTGCACCAAGAATTTAGTAAACCACTTTATTTTTGTATACCAAATCGGTAGAGCCGTTGCCTCTAAATATTGAAAAATTCTTGTTGAACGACGTGAATGTTTCACGTTCTCTTATTTTGTATTTATATTCTCTCATGACTTATTCACAGCTATTCATTATAATAGTTGCCTGGACATTTATTGCTACAGTGCCTTTGTAGTAGCAATTTGGTTAGTTAAACTGTCTGATCTCTCTTTGAGTATACTTACCATCTGAGCTGTAGACCCCAGATAAGCTACTGCACCGTGTGTAGAAATACTCCTGTAAATATCCCCTGTTTTGCTAATACACTCAGTTTTAAAACAATGAAATGTTGAAAGAATAAGGTGAAAATGAAGGTATTTTTCAGTATGTCAGATACTCAGTATCAAGAAACACAGTAACCTGATTTAAACATCTCTGTTTTATTCTAATAAGTATAAATCGCAGGTCTGATTAAACGTAGTCTAATAGTTGTCTTTTCCAGGGGGTTTACTGATGTTAATTGTCATTGCAACATATGGAAATTATGCACCTAAAAACTTTAAAAAACATGACTGCTGTTTATTTCATTTTGTGCTAGGAAATATTGTGTATAAAATATTTTCGGTTTAATTATACTAGCTTTTCAGTACTATAGCTATGAAGGTATAGCTGCAGGTCACTTTAAATGATATTACTATTCGCAGACATGGTTCTTCAGGGAAAATATTTATAAATAACATCCTAAATTATAACAGAAGAGTCTTTTGGCATGTTAAAAGCATAGAATTAAATGTTAAAAGCATACAACTAAACCAAATAGGACACATTGAATCCTTTATTGTAATTTTTTCCAACTCTGCTCTCTGCTGTAATGTTACACTGAGAAGCCATGGATTAATCTTATATCTGGAGAAGAATTAAATAGGTTTCAGAAAGCTGCTACTAGAGACCCATGTTTTCCCTGTTTGTTAGCGTCGAGGCAGTCGCAGCAATGCTAAATAGTTCCTTTGCTATCTCAAAATCTATCTTGTGCACTTGATCGAAGGTATGAACAGCTTTCCGAAGAGGACTGAGTGCATTATGATTCTTCAGGCTGGAAAAGAGATTGTGGGGGAAAGAGGGAATGTTGATGGAGGGGTATAAAAAAAAAAAATAATAAAAATGAATGGTGTGAAAAGATGATTAAGGAATGAGTGTTTCCTGTCTCCTCCAACGTAAGGTCTGGGGCAGGCATGAAGTGAGTGAAGTCAGCTGGTGGTAGAGCCTAGTCAAACAAAAGGAGATGGTTCTTATGTATCATATAATTAAGCTGTGGAAGCCCTTGCTGTTGAAGGTTTTGGGTGCCAGAAGTTGAAATGAATTAAAAAAGCATTCGGACAAGAAAAATCCATTCAAAGCTGTTAAATGCGAAGAGACAGTATTTATCTAGGGAAATGAATGTATTTGTAGTGCTGAAGTGGAATTTTCGTAAGAATTTGGCGTATGTAATTCATTAATTTCTTTTGCTTGGGGTGGGACAGCTTATTTTCAGATGACAATTTAAAGGTAAGTACTGAAGAAAATACCTATGTAAACTAGGTAATAAAATCATCAGAAGGAACTGAGGCAGCCACCTTGTGTTAGTGTAGTAAAGCGTGCGTTCCCCACTGAAGTATTGTTGATCTCCAGCTTCTGAATTGCCAGTGGCAGGAAGTAAAATCTACTGACCCACCTGAAAAGCAGCAATCTGAGATGCAGCAATACGGTGAAGATCATCTCTGTGCTACCTGTATTTGTAATGTTACTGTTGCACCTTCAGGGTACCACCTTTAGGATGTAAGCAACTGTGATTTTTCTCCCCCACCCCCCAGTGGGAATGGGACTGACACTAGAAAACTAGTTTCATATTGGAAGTTAAGATCCACTACATGGTATCTTTAAATCACTGGGTTTGGTTTGGCTATAAGTCATACAGATGGCAGAAATTCTGTATCCCATGATGTCTCTTCTCCCCACTGTCCCCCATCAAATTAAGATATTTTGTTTTTCAAGGTAGTGAAAATCTTGGTAAAAATATATGTGGCTGTAATGTAGGGGTTTTTTTAATAACTTCTCTAACGTAGGTGTTTTATTTGAGTGTGTGATTTATAGAGGTCCAACTGTGTAAAATACTGAAGTATCAAGTTTTAATTTGAAAAATTAGATTTTCATAATGGCATGTTTTAAAAATACTTTGAGTAGGTATTGTTTATAACTTAAAATGATTTTTTTTGTTCTTTATTTTAGAAGATAAGAAAACTTGTGCATATTACAACTATTTTATTTTAGATGCATTTTTTAGAGTCAAAAAAGTGGGGCTTCCTAGTAATGCTATAAATTTAAAGCTGTCCTACAGCAAGATAGTACAATGCAAATATGACTTAATAAGATCACAAACTGAATTTCAGCAAAACAACCAAGATTTACATTAAATTAGGAATTTTAAAACCGATTTAGTTTGTTTTACTGAGCATTTGCTTAATAACATTTCGCCTTCTTGCAATCTTTTTAAAGACAATAATTCGTCTGTGAAATGCAGGCACATCCTCAGTAGAAAAATTGAAAGCAACAGCTCACTTTCTGAAACCACACATATAGTGATATAAAGAAATATTTCAGCTCTACGAAATTTAATAAATCATCCCATTTCCTAATTTGATCATATTAGATGCTGATGTGGAAAAAGCATTTCAAATACCATCTCCTCATTAATATACATCAGTCTGGGGAATCGAATGGAATACTTATGCAGAGATGTCACAGTTACTGTTTCTTAGTTTACTAAGTGGAACAGGTTGATGTGATACTGGGTGCTATTTGTCAATGTCTTGCTAAAATGGTTTGGGTCGAGTTATGGAGTCCAGAAAGACGGCGGCTGATAAATCAAAAGTGGATTGAGTGGACAGGAGGCAGTGATTGATACTGTGACAGGATATGAAGAAAGGAATCTTGATACAAGCATGCATGATATTGAATATGAGAAGGAAAATGGCCCTGGAGTATGGATATTATTCAAGGAAATGAGAATAATAATATCATCTTGAAATTATTGCTGGGTGAAGATTAGGATAGCTCTTATTAGAATATTATGCTTCTCTGGAATGGAGAAACTCAGATTTCATATAATTTCTGTGTGGATAGAGTCTTGTTAATATTTTTAGGGTTTTCACTGCAATTGTTCTGCAAGTTAATCGTATATGAAAATACTTACTTTACATCAGAACTTGTAACGTGACTTTTAATTCATGTAGTTTTAAATAGAATTAACCAAAAGATATTAACCTTTATTCCTTGGTTTCATACAATTCTGTCTGTATAGAGTATTTCACTGTAATTGCCTTTAAATATGCAAGTTTGGTTTTATTGTCTGCCAAGTGTTTTTGGCTTTTCCCTTTACATTAAACTGAAACCTACTGCCTTGAAATAGCTTTAACACAGTTCAACTTAAAGACTGACACAATAACAGCTAGTACATTTATACATACCTAAGAGAAATACCCTGTGTAAAGTAATCCTGTTTGTAGACTTGATGCCTTTGGACTGTCACTGAAGGAAGTGTTTGATCAGTGTGTTGGGCTTCTTTCCCCAGTGTGTGTGTGGGCACATGTTTACATCTTATTTCTTTACCATTCTTCCAGGCTAATTGATTTAATATTGAAATGTGTGCATCTTATTGCAGTCCAGTGGCAGGGCGACCTAATTCTTATGGATGGCTTTGGAGTAGACTTGTTTGCAGCTTGTTGACTAAAGTTGACGTTATCCTAGCAACGTAAACTGGAATTAACTTATGTTCATCCCTCATAGCTTGCCAGAATTCTTTGTGTTTAGCATTTGTAGTTTGTAATATTTAAAAATAGGGTCCTTCAATCATGCAGAGAAGTGCAATGTGAAAAGAGTCATTAAATAAATAGTAGTAAACCCCCACTAATTTCTTTAAAATAGTGCTGTGTTGGTATACATACTGAATAGTCAGGTTCACAAATTTAGTGGTCTCTAGAGATAGCATAATTTGCATCGCCTACTTTATAACACAGAGTGATGATGGAATTGCAAGAAAAGAATTCCCCGCCACCCCTTTCTAGGTGCATTTTCACCACTGCTGCTTCAAACACAAACACGATACTGGACAATGCTTCTGGAGTTAGAGATCCTTGCCAGTGGGTCTGATCTGTTCTCGAAAATGTCATGGCTTCATTCAGGCTCTTCCTCGT